AAACCAGAGAGGCCGCCAAGCAAAAATGTATCAAGGTTTTGTATTCTCAGCTCGCCTATGTTTCTTTCAATTATAATGCTCATATGATTTTCTGCATTTCAATACCAAAGTTCTATATATATTTCAATTAACTTCTATGCCTTGCTTAACGAAAACGATTTATAAAAGGATAGGCCTGGGAAAAGAAGACAATTTGATCACTGCCGTAGTTCTCCAACTTCGGTTCTCACACATTTTTATGTTTCAATTCAACTCTCTGAAAGTTACATTCTTTCTCAAGAATTGGGAGATAACTAACAAGGTAGTGCTAGTTCTCACTGCAGGCACAAGCTCACTTCACGAGAAAGTGAAAACTATACAATTAACACATCTGTCATATAAATGTTCAAAATCCATAATGTCAAATTTCAGCATTTACCACCCTCCCTTTAGCGGAGCTTTTTATTTTTATCCAAGTATAAGGGTATTAAGGAAATGTGCATCCTACAAGGCATGTCCGAGTTATGCTTTAATCTATTTTCCTCAACCTTCTTTCTTTAGATTTTGGCACAAGTTTGAAAGTTTAATGAAATAAGAAAACGTTGCTATCTGTACTACTAGCCTGTCTGCCTTAGACTTCTATTCATTCTTGAAATAAACCCATTGATGAATTTGCAAGAGCATATACAGAAAATATTCACCATGAAAGACATCACAAATGGTCCAGTATAAGATTTCGAGCATACAGCTTCTAACTTCCCATAAACTCAATTCAGAACCTTGGTATTAACAATGCTATTACTGGAGTACAGTTTTGCTTTGGAGTCATCGAATGGCACAACTTATGGAGCCATCCACCCTTATCCACAAATAATGTGTTGACACGTGTCCTGCAATAAATACACTTTGGACAAGTGTCAACACAGTAAGTGGTAGATGACTCCATAAGAAAACCATCCGATGGCTCCACAAAAATTTTTGTACTTCAGTAAATGACTGTAGGTATTGCTTATAAGTTATAATCATTGTGATTCGTTCACAAGACTAAACTCGAAAAGTCCACAGACACCAGAATTTTAAGAGCTCCCTTTCCAAACTACATCACCAATGCACAAAGAAGCCACATAAATGTTATCCAGTGAACGTTCGATTATACTCTGATATCTAAACCAAATGGCACACCATCACATCACCTACACCACACTCAAGATTGTCCAAAGTTCAGATCTTGTAAATGCCATTAGAGCTAAGCTTAAAACAACACAAAAATACAAATGAAAAATTACCCAAAATGCTCAACCCCATCAACTGACATCGATTTAACCCCAAATGACAAATCAACATCACACTGCCAACCAACGCCATTGTAACAAACAATTGAAAGGAACTGAAAAAGACGAAGAAAAAAAAAAGCTCACCCTGGTTCATGAGATACCATGGAATGCCAAAGATGACTCCAAATATGGCGATGCCTGCAAAGACATGTTTCTTTTCACCGCTGTACAGATAGTGGTCTAATTTAGCCCTAAATCCAGCTGCACCGCCTGCTCCATTGCTGCGTTTCTTTGTGTCATCGCTCATCTTTTCTATTGGTGTTTATTCAGGGACAACGAGATTTGCCCCTTTTTGTGCTGCTACCCTTTTTCTGTTTGAGCTCGCTGAAGCTTAAACCCTTCTGAATTCTGAAGCTGTTTAATGGAAGGGTGTGCTTTTGTGGTGTTTGCACTTGTATCGGGGTTACACTAATATGTGACTTAGAATTAACACCTCATAAAACATAAATTGCAATAGGTCATAGGTGATTTGTTTTTGTAAGAGCTTTTTTTTATACGGGTGCTTGTTAAAAAATTATTCTTAAATTTTAAAATTAATGAGAAAACTATATTAAATTTAATTTACTTTTTTTTTAAAAAAAATATATTACTATATATTTTAGACTGATATGTGTTACTTAT